AAATTCTCTGCTAGAAATTTTCGTTTGTCTCATCACTTTTATTATTAAGAATGATAGTGAGCAATTTAAGAATGAAAAATTTGGATGTGATCGAAGTGAGGAGCGGAGATGAAGTGCAGCTGACGGTTGCCAAATGTTACGGGTTCCGAAATATTCAGAATTTGGTACAAAAAATGAAACGGGATAAGGTGGAATACGACTATATTGAGGTGATGGCATGTCCGTCGGGATGTGCCAATGGCGGCGGCCAAATACGCGCGTTGAATAGTGATCAGAGGCAAGAACTACTCGAAACGGTGTTTCAGAATTACGATTCTATTCCAATGCATCAAGTGTCGCTCGATGCTGAATTCGAACGCGTTAAACGGCACTGGGCCGTTCTTAACACCGAATTCGTACATTTATGCGAAACAAACTACCACGTTGTTGACAAAAATATTATCGATAAAGTGAACTTGGGCTGGTAGAATTATTCATATTTTTGGTTGGTTGGTTTAAGTTGGAAATGTCAACGATGGAAGATTGGTGTACGTGTGGGTGTGTTAAAGAATGAATGCTAAACGAACAACAGTACTGAGAGGGAGCATTTGAATGGCAATGGGCAGTTCGTTTCGATATGGTTCCTCCAATATAACGTCTGTGCCCATAACGATAAAACATTTTGAATACGTTTATGGAAAATGTAACAAAGTGAATATGAAGATTTATTGAATTCAACGGCAACAATAACAACGATAAAATTCATGCAAGTAAACAACAACTGTCAAAAAATATAAGCCAGCTTAAAATGTCGGCCACTCTCAATAACAAAGTCTCAACGATCAACAGTATCAGATCGATTGAAGCCGAACAAATCTAATATCTGACTAGTCCAAGTGAACCGAATCAAACAAGACTGCAGTCTACCGATTCTCATTCTACTTTTCTGTAAATCCGTCTGTAAAGTTTTTGTATAACTGATGATTTGTTTAAAGGAGATTGTAATATAATAAAAACGATATTTATTGAAAGCCGAGAGAATTATACTGACATTTGTCTGTGATTGTTGACTGCTGACAAAGGTCTGTATGACAGATTCTAACACCTCTTATATGTATAATTCAAAAAGTCGTAATCATGCAGTTCAGTGCTTCGATNTTCCACTATCGTAATGATATCAATAAAATGTTCGACGCTCAAATACGTCTTTCCGTTAAACGCTTATCGTTCGAAATACATTGAAGCCATCGAGTGCGGTTGTGATTGCAAGACCAGGAATCTGACTATGCCAATGAACCTTAAATTTCACTTATTTCGATAAACATCCATAGTAATATTCCTTCGCAATGCACTTCAAATTTTACATTGAGAGAAAAAATAAGTTACTTATTTAAAGGTGTTGGAACCAAGTATCAGGTAATTTACATAGGCAAAGCGTCATTTCTGTCGATGAGGAAATGTAATGAAAATGAATGAAATAAAATAAGAGATGAGAACAACATGAAAATCAAAACGAGATCATAACCATAAAAATGAAACGAATCACGCAAAATAACCTCTTTAATTTCATGTTGTCCCATATGAACGAACAGCAACTGCGGAGGTACTTCGCTCACGTTACTCTCTTGATCAATTTCAGCCTCTACCGCTAAATCCCATATTGTCGATTGATCGTCTTCTCCACTTGCTAACAAAGTGGTTGATTCAAGTGGGCACCATTCAACGGACGTTATCGCTCCTTTATGATGCTTGAACCGAGCCACTGACTGTCCATACTATAATGCAATTTAGATACATCACTTCATATATTTCGAGCAAATAGATCATCGATACTCGAAGTTAGAATTTCATAATGACGGATAACTCTTATTATTAGCTGTATAGAGAGAAGAACGTCAAATGAGAAATAATGTGGTACTGATGATAAACGAAGCGAGTTATAACTGTTAACTGCATATATAAATAAATAAACGCTTCAGTTGCATTATCGAATGAGGGAATTGCTTCGGAGAACGCACATTCAACCCCACAATTTGACAATGATATCAATGCTTAGGTGGGGAATGTTGATCAGTCAACAGTTCAATAATCAGTGAAAACAAAACGAATTCTTCAACCCTTCATTTCAGAGGTCAAAGATGACCTTAGAACGGCTGATCGCGAACAATTCCTTAAAGTGATGAGTAGCGTTGCCAACCTGTATTGTTTTAAGTGACCATATTTTTAAAGTCGCATCATCACCACCTGTCACTATAAGAGGATCATGTTTATTCCAAGATAGAACGTTTACATCAGATTCATGAGCATCTGTCACCGTACAAACACAAGCCTTCGAATCTGGTGATCTAAATTATGATTATTATTACAGCTTTGAATTTATAGCATTAATACCATTACAGCGTCAACTTTACTCTTGTGATACCAAACAAAAACACGCTTAACATTACAATATCCGCAACAAATACTATTCAGTTGATTAAACCCTAAACCAAACATCTTAAAACGGAAAGGAGATCAAACTATGCCCTTTAATGAAACTAATCAAATTATTTGAATCACTCCAATTCAGTCAACGATCCAAAACAAAATCATTCGCATTCCACTTAATCATACGCAATNGTATAAATTCCCAGCCTCGTATCCCATAATTTAACGGATCGATCGCTCGAACATGAGATAAGCAATGACTGTTCGGTTGGTGACCAAGCCAGATCTTCAACTGACGACGTGTGACCGCTCAATGGACGCTGATTGATTGACCACTGACCACCCTCACCCATTGCCCATATCGAAATACTGCCTCGATTATCGCCAGACGCCAGTGCACCTGTACGCTGCTCATGATCAGTGCTCGCAGTGCGAATGCTTCAAATGCAATCAGCAGTAAGAGCAAAAGTATTCACGAAATGCTGCTGTTAACGTTGCCAACAACAACGATTGCGAATCTTCAACCCATAATGCTGATTATTTTTATTTCAAATGATTTCTCCATTAATTAAGCTTCACTACGACCAATAAACGATTTTAATGATTAAGCTGATGAGAATTAATTTCTTTCATTTCATATAAAGGATGGTATATTAATGTGCAAATGAAGTACCAGTTTTTAAGGATGACCACGCCAGTGCATAACCTTCATCCTTATGTCCAACATAAGAAAATAAAGGATTTTCTTTGATAACCACCGACTTACTGGCACAATCATTCATATTATTCACCTCTTTTAAGGCGTTACTCAAATTCCATAATTGCACCTTGCCGAGTGCATTCCAAGCTGCACACACACGACTATCACCCAAATTAGTTGTCTGAAGACATTATTGGAGTTAAAAATTGGTATCAGAATTGATTTTGCAATCATGAATAGAACGAAACAGAAACAGTTCCAAAAATGCTACAAGAAAGGGAACATGACTGACTCGAATTCGATTGATAGAACCCTGATGTTTAATCGCTGCTGCGTGCATTCGAGGAGATTTAGCACTCTGTGTGGTTTCCTCGTCATCGTCGTTATCACTCTCAGATTCATCGTCTTCTTTATCGTCTGAAAGTTGACGTGTTTCAGTTCGACGCTTCACACTACGAATTTCACTGGCAGATCACTGACAATCACGTACAATAAATACACTGAATTCATAAGCTTCCTTAAAACCTTGATATGATGTTAAGGATTGAATTTCAGTTAAACAGCAATCCTTAGGTTATGTTATTAGAACAGAAGTCGATATATTCTAAATTGTGTCCATTTTCACACTAATGCAAACTCCTTCAAGAGAGTTGATACTTGTTTACAAATTGTTTCAATCGCATTAATACAATTACAAACGAACGGGGAATTCCATAAAGATTCGATAAACGCATAGTAATGATTTCATTTCGCCTTGAATCCTCGGCTTGTGTACCCGCAACGAGTGTGCACGTCAGTGGAAATTCACTTCGATTATCACCCAACGTATCAATCACCGTATCAAAACTGAGGCATGGCCATTCTATGAAAAAAGTATTATTAATTTAACTGATTGCATGTTTGCTGCTTTCGCTAACAGCAACGCTGTTATTGTAATTTACTCACGCTAGCAGAGAAATCTGAATAACAAATGGATGAAAACAACAAAACATTTATTTAAATCAACAGAAGATAAATTTACGGATGGCATTCAACCCTGATTGCCAAAACTGCCAACGTAAAATTTACTTGTTTCAAATGTATGGAATAATCGATACGCTTCCGGATCGAACTCCCACTCCTCGTCTTCTTTCAATGGCCGACTCACACCAGGTATATAAACCTGAAATTTTGAAGGTTGTAACGAATAGAATGAGACCAATGCAACTGACGGGCAGAAACTTAAATTTTACACGGTTAATGTATTCTTGTTTACGTGCTGGCTGAAGGCTCCCTTGCTAGGTCTGACTGCAGTCATTCGGCAAATATCACTGTGATCACCGGTACCGTCAATATAGATATGGGTATTAGAACGCTTGAAGGAAGCGAAACTGTGATAACGCGTCAAAAGTGACACTTCCGAGGATATCGTCATGTAATTTCATTGATAAATAGCTTTATTAACATTCCGAAGACAAACTTTCTTCTTTGATGAGTCATCAGCACCTTCATTCGCCGCTTCGTTCTCTTGACTGTCATCATCACTTTCTCCTTCCATCAATTCCTCGTCGTCTCCATGAACTTCTTCATGCTCTTCTTCATTCATTATTGAACAATATTCTCGCAGTTATGGATGAATGGATCTGAAGAAAATTTATATTACTTTCTAATTGTAAGAAAATCATCAACGAATAGTTGAATGCAACTGCAAAACAACCATACAAACACAATATGATCTGTTAAAAACAAAATATAAGTTAGGAGAAAATGAAGCGATGCGAACATTGACAAATAAATTTTTAATAAATTTTCATGAACGCACTTTTCTACTCAGACTTAGTCTCCTTGACACTGCCTATCACTACAGAAACTATGCATTCAACGATGAAAACCTCAACGATTATCACCGCTCAGGATGATGAATGAAATTCTCAGGTTTATCGACAACTTCAGGAACCTACCTACATTATGTCGCCGATCAAGAAAAAAATCTGTGAAAACATTAGTCGCTACTTTTTGCAGATAGCTAGCAGCTGAAGAGGAAGGTGTTAGTGAAGATGGCACGATACGAAACTCATTAAACACTGTCAACGTCCTATCTTGAACATTCATTAAAGATAGTGGCACTTGGCGAGAGACGACACTTATCGTTAGTGACTTTATTGGCAAATGTAGCGAGGAATCTGTTCGCAAAACGCGCAGTAAATGCCAATCATTTTGTTGATGGGTGAAAGGTGTGGAAAGAGACGAATTTCGTTACTGTTGGTTGAAAATCAATTCAACGTTGAGATCAAGATGAGAGGTGACAGGTGAAGCGAAAAATCTGTGCTGAAGACACAACAGATAAAGTCATTGATGTGAAGTGTGTACGTGAGCCAGGGATTTGCATACAGAAATGCAACAACAACAGTACACTGAAAACAAGGCGACTTCGTGAACTGTTTTATTTGCAAAAACAAACAAAAAAATGGATATCATCACAAAAAACGCGATGATTGACAGCAGCAGCAGTGTGATCACCATGAAACCCCACATCACACAACCGATAATAAACAAACATCTTTTAACACAAATCCAGATTGAACCAGTTATGAAAGTGATATAAAACTATTAGTCGATGATACAAACAAGAAAACACAAATCACGTCACATTATAGCGGTTGAGGTTTACAGTTCGGCTCAGGGATAAACGCATATGCTAACGAATTGCATCCAGTGATGTTTTCGAATGAACTTGGATTTGCAATTCATAAACGAAGGTATCAGTTCGTGCAAATGATGGCAATGAAATGACCAGTGACTGCGCAGATTTGATTTGAATAATTATGGAATCGATCAGCTTAACAAACAAATAAACAAACAAACAAAACAAGCGAGCAGTCAATTAAGTAATTGATCAATCAAGTCAACAATAGAAATCAAGCAACATTTGTGACTTGTCTATCGATCAGCGTTTGATCATCATCGTAATTTGCATTCGCCATTCTTGCCTTACGTCTTCTGGAGCAGCATCGAGTTGAAATTGAATAAAGGAAGCAAAATAGGAGTATAGCAACCAGTGTTGTTAACACGCCCACTAGTGCTGAGGCGACCATTACGTTTGCATACGGTTTATCCTTAAATTCACAATTGCTTTAAACAGCACGTAAGAATTAATCATAGAAAGGTAGTCAAAAGCAGATACAAATGAAGAATATCAAATAGTCGCAAAAAATATCATTTAGTGTATGCGGGAATGTATGCGATCACAATTGTATGCGAGAAATAATATCTGTTCGCAAGATCAGTTTCAGATATGTGTAAGATAATATGAAGCATGCACACGATTGTATGCTCTGAACGCATCATTTCCCTAAAATAATAGAAGTTACGTATGGTCAGACTCACCATAAACTGATGAAGGTGTCTGCGTGAACGTTCGTAAATTTTCTTAACTGCTTCGATTGGCTGTGCCAGATCAATCACTGCAGTTGGTCTTTCAGTAGTTGCGTTCGTTATATTCGATGGGAATGTGTCATTAACGAATTCAGTTCCATTGAAGATCTCAATTATGGTTTCATTATCGAACACATCACCCCGTTGAAGCAACTCAATCACTCTTCTGTCATGCTCGTCCAAATCCGACACTTCATCAGCCAACACCAATGATGAACACTCCACTATACCAATCAATACCAATAATTTGACGACGTTTGGCATACTGTAATTAAAATAAGTACACCAACATTAAGATGATCTTAGCTCAATGCAAAACCATACAAACTGTGCAGCGAAGAACTGTCTTGTTAGGGTTACAAATGAACACAAATTATACAGTACAACTACGAGATCAGGCTGATAGCATCCACTACATTAGTGAGAGCTGAACGGTTAGTGGACGAAAACAATGTGCACTCATGAAAATCTATGATTGCTTAATTGCATCATCGTAATGTGCGATGAAAATTTGAAGGAGGTTTGGACATTTTATTGGTGATATTCGAGCAGTAATTCGGTCAGAAGATGACCAAAATTGCCAATGAGAAACTACTCGAAAGATATCGACAACAGATGTTTTTTTGAAGATCGAACATCGATTGGACCGTCCACTGATAATCAACACTTTTAGAATACTAAAGTGTTCAGTTGGGTAGAAAAAATATATTTTGTAAGACACATAAGTGACCTTTAATGATCAATTGACGAAATAAGTGCTGTGAATCGATTGAGATTTTCTGTTTGTACATCTGATCTACCATAAAAGCATTTCGATCGCTGCATCGAATCAACAAGCAAATTTAAGGAAGTCGATTTTCATCTCCAATTTTGATGGTTGCGATACATTTCGTCTAATTTCGGAAGTAAACATGAAAACATGCAGACTTTCCCTTGCTCGGAAGATCCTCAACAAAATAACTGGCTCGAGAAAGCGCTGAAATTATATCGTCTTAATCGAAGACCCATCCATTTGCTAGGCAACACCCGGCAAGAGAACATGATCGAATCCGGTATCGGCTACTTCGAATGTCGCTCATGAAGAAAATTTAATCCTGAGTATGACCGGCTTGATAACATTAGTCACAAATTAAGGGCCATCAGCATTTACATGATTTTTGTCATAACTCTTCGACACTTTGATGCTGTAGACTAATAAAGTTAGTTTTTGTAGGTTTTCGAATGTTTTTTTTAGGAAAATTTGCAATAACTCTTTCGGACTTGCATGTCAAGTTTACGAACTTGTATGTCATATTCGGAGTTGAAGATCACCTGGACATGAGAATCTCCAAATTGATGAATCCGATGAGATGGAGAGCACATCAGTGAGAATTCACAAAATTATGGTAACAAGTTAAATGCTCAATTGCGAATAGGGTTTGCACGGGATCCCGGGATTACAGTTCTGATGCCGATCCCGGGATTTACGTTTTGAAAAATCCGGGGATTTCGGGATTTGATAAAACAGGTCAATTTGTGTGAATTTTG